ATTTTCGACCATTCCTTTGTTCTGCCGTAGGCAGTTTATGATCTTCACTCAATTTAATTTGTTTGTCTTTTAATAAAATATCGAAGATTTTATCAGCCTTTGTCACATCGAAAGTATATGTTCGATTTGTCATCTTATCTTTTACTTCATTCTTTTGTAGCAATTTACAGATATATGGAGCTTCTACTTTGAGCTCTGCTATATTTACTTTCTCATCGACAGTCTTTTCCACATCATTCTCTGTCGTGGGATCTGTTTCATACACATCATTTATATATGATATTCTTTCTTTCTTCATTGGTTTCTCAAATTTCTTATATCTTTGTTTTTCATATTCAATTTGTTCTACTCTTCTCACTTTATCAGCTAACTGAGCCATATCATTCAATGGTAAATTGACTAACTTTTTCCTAATCGAGAATTCTAAGCCTGCAGAGGCCATTCTGACTAATTCATATTCAGGAATTTGAGTAAAGCATCTCGATTTCATTTGTCTAAATCGATTCAAATAATCATCTATGCTTTCATGATTGTATCTCTTTATATTCATCAAGTCGATGAGACTTACTTGAGTTTCTCCTCTAAAGAATTGCTCATGAAAATTTCTTTCCAGTTGCAGCCAATTATATATCGAATTGGGTGGCAACGAAGTAAACCAAGTAAAAGCATTTTTAGTCAAAGAACTAGGGAAATATTTCATTTTTAATTCTTCACTCATCGCGAGATCTCCACATTCGATCTGATATCGAGCTACATGCTCGATAGTTGATTCACCAACTTCTCCAGCAAATTTGGTGAATTTAGGTACTTTGTATCCTCGAGGTAATTCCGTCTCGAGAATCGTGTTTGGAAAAGGAGACACAAAGTATGTTTGGTTGGGTGGTCTAAATTCTATCCCTTGGAAATTCATCCTTTGTCCTAATATGTGATTATTTTGCATGTTATTTTGATTATACATATTTTGAAATCCCTCATTCATATTTCCATAAATATCATTTCTTCCATGTTGGTATTCATTCCCTATTTGTTGATCATTGTTTCGATTTCTCCTTAAAAGATATGGGGGATTGATATTGACATTCTGGTTAGCATGATTTTCTACCCTTGTTCGTCGAGGTACAACCAATGCATCCCCGATTCGTGACATTTGATCTGCTAATATCTCAAAACTAGCTGTAGTGTTTTGAACTAATGGATTTAGAACTGTAGTCAACTGTTGGGATAACATATTCACCATCTCAAAATTGCTCTCATCCATTTGTTGTCTAAGTATCCCTAATGAGTTACTGGATATCCCCGTACCAGTGTTCTCGATAGTCTCACAATTGGATCGATGATAATCTCTATCGAATGTATATCTTCCATGTTCCAAATTTCCTCTATGGTCTAGATTTCCTCTATGATCTAGGTTTGGAAGCGTCTGTTGTGTGCCTAAATTTTGTCCGCTTCTTGAATTCTTAGGGATTACTAAGTTTTGAGATGTTCCTAAATTCGGAGGGACTCCAAAGTTCTGGGGCATGCCCAGCGTTTGAGGCATTCCTAAGTTATATCTCGAATTCCGTTGTGTTGAAGAAGTTCCAGCCCCGCTCGTATTACTAAGGGAAAACCCAGGCGGTCTTACACTCATATATGGCCCTACATATGTTGTTGTGGGGTTTCCTATAATTTGCATATTATTTGGTACCACCGTATTATATCCTACTTGGGTGTTTGTTAAGGTACCTGAATTTAGCTCGTTACCCACAGGTATCGACATACTTGTAGTCGTCGATGTTACAGGCATATTCCCATTATGACTTTGCCCCCCAGTATTTGGTGAATGTACACCATTTAGACCCTCACTATTACTCTGGTTATTTGAAGAATTTTGACTCATTCTTATAACTCCCCCACTCCTTAATCTCATACACTTTCGGACTAACAAATTTTGTGTTTTTCAACACAAGTAACCCCTACCTGGCGCGCCAATTTGTTTCTGGTGGAATTTCGATCGATTTCGACTCCCGAGATACTTTGATACTAACCAAAATTCTACCACGTAAGTTCTTTTTACTTAGGCTAGCAAATTAATCTTCAATCGAAATGCATACGAGGATCGAATCTTACCAAGTATCGAAAATGCTACTTTTTGGTGTTTTATATTTAAGATGTAGAAAGCAATGAAATGTTGAATCTAAAAACAATACAGAATATTAAATTGCTGAAACCCGTAAAATGCAGAAACCTTAACAGTACGTTGAATGTAAATGACAAGAAATCGAAAGAACAGAAATGTAAATAACAAGGAATCAAGATAACAGGAAATATACTGGAAATCGAAATTGCATTAATGTTAAAGGACAAGGAAACTTAAACGCGGAAATTTAACTTTGTTTGAATTGAAATGACAGAGAATCGAAAGTACAAAACATAAAATTGCCGAATATAAGGTGCATCAAAACAAATTACCAAGGAAAGTAAAGAAAGCGGTAAAGGTACTCGATGAGCATGGAAATCCAGATTGCCAGAAGCTTCATGGTGTTCGTCATTTTCCGGTAGACTTCTCACTACTGATTCTGTTCTCTGCCAATTTTCTGCTCCCCTATTCCTTCCTCCTCTGCTCTATTTATAGGGCATCATTCAAGCCTTCTAGGAGCAGTTAACAAAACTGCTACCACGTTCTTCATGCGCGTTGCAATTTCTTCTTCTATGGTGTTAAAACTGCACCCACGTTCCCATGATCTTCATCCTCTGCCACGATTTAGAAACTGTTTCTTATGTGCATGTTTAACTCCTTCTCTTTAAGATCTGGCCACGATTTTGATATTTATGCGGGTTAACCTTTCTTTCGATTTAGACTTCGATTTTATCGAGAACTTTGGATTACTTTTGATTCCTTTTAACCTTAGCATCATATATTTCTAATTTCTTGGTTTGTTCCACAATAAACTTTTGACTATTATTTCTCCGATTCCGACTGTAACTTTCGATTTTATGTGCCATGCCCTTCTAATTGGACATCGAATGGTTTCTCATCCACCTTTTCGCTTTACCGATCAGTCACATGTTTCTCGATTTTTCTTCCCTTCATTTTTTCGATCGCTTTTCTCGATTTCCTACTAACATATATATATATATATATATATATATATATATATATATTTATATTTATATTGTTATCTGATAACAAATTATCATTGTAAATATATTACTTTCTAAAATAATTATTCAGAAGTGATGTTAAATATGTTTAAATTATGATCAATGGAGAGTGTGAAAACCTGTCAGTGACTACATATGTATTTTAATCTCAAAATATAATAAAAAATTATTATTAAAAAAAACTGCATAAAGGTCATTGTATTTTAATTAAAATATTTATTAAATGCCTATTTCAGGCTTTCCTTTACATCCAAACGTAACAATAGTTAGAATGCAAATGCTGATTATTGTGTCTAAAATAAATGCATATTAATCCTTTAATTTTTAATTAACTAATATTATTATATATGCAAACACATAAATTGTCCAAATCAATATGTATTTAAGAACAAGTTAAGGAAAATATTTCAAACAAAAATAAAAATAAAAAATATTTTAAAATTTAAAGGGCAGCTCATCCTTTTCCCAAAGTGAAGTAAACTATATAAATTATACATCACAATATTTTATTGTCAATTAACTATAGAAAAACCATTTTGACAAATTTAGTAATAATCTATGTTTCAGTCCATCTAACAATAACCTCACAATACAATTTTATTTTAAAATATAATTAAAATATAGATTTAATTAGATTTTTAATCGTTAAAACTAGAGATAAATAACTTTTTAGTCTCTTGAATTTAAAAAAAGTAACAAAAAGTTAGTAAAATATAATTTTAATCTTTAAATGCTAAATTTAAAGGACTAAAAATAATTTTAAAAAACTTATTTTAATTTTTTAAATTCAATGTTTAAAGACTAAAATAAACTTTTTATTTATTTAAGATACTAACATAAAATCACTTTTAAATTTTAATAACTAAAAACATAATTAAGTCCAAAATATATTTCAAGAAAAGTTAACAATAAAAATGTTAATTTAAAGTGATCAAAACATGAAAACCTTTTAAACAAAAATAAGTAAATTTAATGTTTAAAATTGGACAAAGGAATTGTATTTAGTGAAATTTCACCACGAATCACTGAACCATATCACAATCACCAAACAAGTGTGGTCAGGTTTTAAATCCATGGAAAGAATTTAACAATGAATAAATGCTTTATAAAACATTTTTTGGTGTTGAACCTAAGGAGGCACCTAGCTACTTGAATTTCTCATGTACACTAATGTAATGCAAAGACATGTTTACACATTTACACAACTACAGGCAAAGCCATTTATTTGTCCATACATTGAATATCACTGGCTAGTAAGAAGAAAACAGCAGAAGCTCCCATGTATAAAGTGGATAATCACCCACTATGCTATATTTTAGTCCTTGTTTACATCAAACAGCCTTAGCCTTTGCAAACTAAGGCATTTAATGGAACAGCTGCATTGAAAGAAGAAAAATGGTTAGATACAGTATTTTTAGACCAATGTCTTATAGAATCCATAAAATGTATCCCTAGCTGTCTAAATCAATCAATTTAGTCATACGAATGAGGAACAGTAACAAAATCTCAAATTTAGTCATAATGCATACGAGACCAAATAAGTTATATCCTGGTTTACATGAGTAAATGTCGGACTAAGAAAGGGAGCAATATGACAAACACCCCCACATGGTCCCCATCCAACGTTTGTGTCATCACATAAGAAAACATTAGACAAGTACCAGCACTTCATGAACAATTAATTCTATATAATAAGACAGAAAAATAATACTAGCAAATGTTTACATGCACATAAAAGTTGAGGATTATAGGAAAACCGATATATTTGTTGCATTTTATATGGTAGGGAGACAGATCGGATAGAAAAAAATATGCTCTTAAACAACAAACAATAAATACAAGGCATACTTACATATTTATCAAAACTGGGGATCATAAGAAAAAAGGATTTTTTGTTCATTTGTTGGATTCAAAAGCCATCTACAGAACATCCATGCTGCACTAAGTACTGATAGAAGAGACAACAGTGCCAAACATCCAAAATGAGAAGGATCATTTGCAATTATTGCAACACCCAGCATTATGGACTCGGCCAAACTAGCAACAGCAACCTCTGTCGTCCCAATAAGATTTGCTTTGGATGATGGGATTCCTGTCTGGATAATCTGTGCCCCTACAACATCATATGACATGTGTCCTAACCGTGATAAAATCTGCACAAGCACAACAGCATAAGTGCGAAAATTCAGTATGAACAAATTTAACAAAATTTAATTTCACATAAAAAATCCAAAGTCTGAAATTTTCTAAAAATGAATAAACATTGCAATTTGGGACATCTTATGAGTCTTTCCTCTTCTGTAGACTCACACCAACTTCTGCCTTTTTAACAGATATTCAATGACCTGTAGCAAATTTTTACATAACTGATATCCTATCCCATCCCCTTTCTATAAAGTAATAAAGGTTCAGAACACTTCCGCTGCACACAAGCCAAGTCTTGTTTGATAACAAAATACAAGTTGTATTGACACTAAGAATTTAAAAGATATAATTGGTATTTAAAAAGCATCCTTAGAACCAACCACCTCGAACATTCCATGTCACAATTTAGTTCATTAATACAGCATAACCTGAACTTGAATCCCTATCAGATCAGATCAGATCTACCCCACTTCAATGATTCAGGTCACCCTAATTTATTAACTTCAACATTAATGTGATTAGTGACAATACTTTAGTGACTTACAATCAGAAATAAGAATGTCAGAAGTGGGCTCCGATGAGAAATTGATCCACTCCAGTATACGGCGACAGCCATGCTGAGAAGTAAAGCTTGAAATACCAGCCCAACTGCTCCAGCCTTGTAAAGAGATAAAAATTCTTAATTTGAATAAAAATTAAGCACTAAAACTTTCCTGTGTGCAAAAGTATAAAAATAATCAGCATTAAAAGATGGGGAAGAAACCTTTAAAATGCCAAATTGCTCAACCAGAGTTGAAGACACAAATGTTGCAGCAACACCCATAAAAGCACACATTCCACTGAAACCTCCTATGATAGATGGATGTAAGCCTGCAGAAATATTGAAAAAAAACCATGATCGAGCAATAACACCAAAAATCAATCCCCCAACCCCTAAAAATTGAGGAAAAGTAAAGAAAATTAAATAAAAGAATGTCAATGATTTTTGGTCTAATTATGAAATAGAATGATTAATGGGCAAATCAATTGTGGAGACTACAACACTGAACCTTACATCAAAACCTGCTACCTTTTCCCTTCTGCATGTCTGACCATTTGTTATACAGAACTCACTTTAACATTAAAAGTATTAGAAGACATCGATTAAAAAAAAACTCCATTTACGGAAGATGACGAATGTATCATTGAAAAGTGTAACCTAAGAGAAAACAAGACATAGATTATGTTAGCCAAACAAATAAAGTATAAAATGTTTGTCATATTAAACAAATAGCTAACCCCTGCCAATTATGAGTTCATGATAGATGGAAGATTTTGAAAAACTTGAAATCAGGTGCTTCACTATATTGTTAATGCAACAAAATTACGTGAAAGATACTATATTAAAAAAGATACTATTGAGGAAATTGTCACATACCACGCTGTGTTAAAAATGCTGTCAACAAACTGCCTGGCGAGAGAACAATATTAAAGTAGAGGAGCACCCATGCAAGACTAGCAGGAAGAACAGGTTGACCCAGATACTCCTTCCAGCCAAGCTTGATGGCTTCCAGACCTTTAAAAACTGGTTATCCAGCAGATGGGAGTAATTATATTTAAGATACTCAGACAAAGATAATTCTCAAAAGCAAGTATAATATACCTATACTGTTAGCATCTGTTGCAGAATCTTCATTAAATGTTCTGCAACAGGTTTGTGAAGGTTTGGGTCTATCAAGAACACCGGTAGAAAGCTTGTTGGTTAAATAAGTGAAAATAATCTGCAAATTAAGAATGGATAGTGAAAATGAATTCAGTTTCCAAATTATGGAAGTAATAGATCAAGAAGAAAGATAAAGAAATTACTGTAACAGGCAGAAGCCCCATCATTAAGCCAGAAGCAGCTTTTAAGCAGATTACAGGATGAAATTTAGAAAGAAGGCATCCGAACAGCAATGCCCCAGCTATCTGTAGACAAACATTTCATAAGTTTCCATGATAAAATAATAGAATTTGATATTTCATAAGAAAAATTCTGAATATTTCACTCATATGGAATGGTAGCAAGCGCTGTTGACACATGGAAATGTATCAGCTAGCTAATCAACTAAAGGAGAATATAAAAAAATAAATAATACAAATAATTACCTCACACAGGAGATCAATCCGATTAAGAACAGCATTTGCCTGTGCAAGTGCAATCGGCCGATTCACTCCTGCCAGCTGTGGAAAGAAGCCAATGAGTATCAGAACAAGATTTAATTCTAACACAATTTTTCAAGGACAAATCATATGTCGAGGGAACAGAGGAAAATCCGAATGACAATACCAACACAACCCAGTCACGCTCATTTGCAACTCCCAAGGCTACACCACATAGCCTCTCAATAGCCCCAGCTGAAACCAATATGACAAACCATGGACGCAGAAGCAGACTAGACAATGAAGTATGTCGCACAGAATGGGCGTGAATAATCATTGTTGCTGATAGTAACTGAGCTGCTGCCTGAAAAATTGATCCCTTTTAGCAAAAGAGCTATATCTTGCTTTATTTTGTGTAGATCATCAAACAACTTGCCTGAACGACTGTTAAGCAATTATATGCATGCATTCTTGGAAAATGGTCCATAACTTTGCCAACCAAGGGACCACCAACAATTATAGTCACTTTAGTGAAGAAACCCATCACAGCAACTGGCAAAAGGCTTGGATGAATCAAGGCAATGGCAGAAGGCCAAGCAAAATTCCAAAGTTGCTCCACTACATTTGCAGCTATGCAACTAGCATAGAAAGCTGAAAATATATAATCTTTAAGTTGAGAGCAACTTAGATGATTCAACATCACAGCATCAATAAGTGTAGATGGAAAAAGACACGGAATAAGATCATTGGACAAGATAGACATCAAACAAATTTTGAGACAAGCTTGATTCATCTCAACTAAGATAATAACTGTAATAAACTGTATTCACGTGATTGCGATGTCAGGCTTATGGGAGTGTATTTTTAAGGTTAAAGGAACCGATCCATGAAGCCATATGAAATCAAAGAATAGCCATGTCAATATCAAGAAATTGAAATCAACCCACGCAAAAACAGTTTTCTAATGCTTTCCATTCCAAGAGTAAATTAGGAAATTTTGGCTCAAGAAAGAAAGCTATAGTTAGTTGGTTTAAAATCGCCTTAATTACAGCCATTGTAGACCGCTTTAATTGGGGTCTACCAATGTTGGGTGCAAGTGTCAGATGTGAGAAAACAACCCACCGTGTAACCCAGCCGGGTGGGCTGGAGTAGCCGAAAGGGCATGTTGCTCCTCCTCGGACAAAACCTGCAGAACACACGATGGGAAGATGAGAAACAGTGAGTAATGCTTAACAAAACCCTAAAACTTTGTAAAAAAAAACCTACAGGCAATGTTGTCAAGAGAGTATCTACAAATGTGGCTTCAGCGAGCAAGTTCAAAGACTCAGTCTCAAGAATATCAGTTTTGAGTTTAACAAATGGCGGCTCAACCACCCCTCTTCCCTGACCCTCATCCTCACCGGTGGTCACATGACCCAAACGCACATCAGTGTCTGTCAGTGAACACTTGGAACCAAAATACGAAAATCTGAAACCAATAAAACAGAAAGAGATAACAAACACCCATTAACATTTAACTAGGAATCCAAATTTGAAATTTCAATTTCATTTAACGAGGGATGACTATTGACCTGTGAGAGGAACGAGGGTAATAGAGATTCAACCCTCGGCCAGAAGGGATAAGATGGCGTATTGAAGATGAATGAGTGTGATGAACGGGGAATTTGCTAAAATGGAAAGAGAGGGAGGCCGTAGTAATAGCCATAGCTGCCGCAGCTTGTAGAACTTCAAGCTACCAATCTTCCTCGGATTTATCCGACTCATGCAGTTGCAGTCCCAAAATCACTACGCTGAAGAAACCCCTTTTGCCTCAATGTTCATCCCCAAACAAAACTCTTTTCTTTAATGAAATCGTGAATGAGATTAATTTCAGGATGTTTCACAAACACCTTATCTGTAAGAGGTGTTTGGGAACGTAGGTGGGTGCGTGCAGCCTTAGCCTGAATTTTCGTAGCGTGCCACGAGCAGAGTGCAACTGGTGTTGTTTGTGTGGACATTTTTTCTCTCCATTTGTTTTGTGAGACCATTACGTAAGAGAATTTCTTAGCAGCCACGTGGCAGCGTCGTTTCATCGTTGCACGCCCTTTTTAGTTTTTCCGTGTTTGGTTCGGACTTCTATTTGGTTCATGATTTGACTTGTTGTTAATAAGCCGTGATTAGAAGTGCCATGTAGCGTCGTAGGTTTCCACACGATAACACGGGTTCTTGGAAAAGGCCCAGTCACTTTCTAATGAGCCCAGACAAAAGATTGAAAAATCAGTGGAATGTGGACCTTGAAGCCCACTTGGACAAATGGCTTATTGGACCTTCCTTAATGACACCTCGTTGATATTTATTGGATTGAAGCGTTATATTTGAATTTAGATTTAAATTGAGCAAAAAGAAAAATAAAGATTAGGTTTGTTTAAATATGAGTGGGAGCAGAAAAATGATTCCTTGATATGTTTATTAAAATATAAGGAGAAAAACACTTTAACAAAATGTGTTTCCTCTTGAAGACACCAATTACAATTCTGCCTCGTAACTTTTCTGTCACTTATTTTTGCATAAAAGAAGGAGGTAAATGAGATTCTATTTTTGTGGTATTTGTGAGAGCCAACCATCTTGGTTGACGAAAGCTGAGAGGGAAAAGTTTTGAGCAAAAGCTGTAGGTGTCAATTTCTTCGCCCAAGTAACACGTTCCGAAGTGTTCGCACCTGGTCCTGTACACTCAACCTCAGAGAAGAAAATGCACTCTCTGCATAAATTTGTTTACAATCTTCAGAAATCTTATAAACCAACGTGCATAGTTACATCACATATAATATTGAAAAAAAAAACAAAACAAAATTGGTATTTTTTTTTAATTTATCAATTTAGATAAATTCTTAAAAAATTACATAACACGCCTTAATAATGAAAAAGAGTCATTTCAAGAACTTTTTTAATATTTTTTATAATTTTTTTATTATTAAATTTATTATAAATAAATAAAATAATTAATAATACTAGTTAACATTAATAGTTAAATATTAATAATAATACTAATACATATAAGAATAACAAGTATTAATTATTTTATTTATTAGTATTATTATTAATTATTTTATTAATTTTAATATATTTAATAATAATAATAATTATATATATATATAAACTATTAAAATACATAAAAAGTAAAATTCTAATTATCATGACTTTACTGTAAAATAAAAGATATAAAACGTTAAAACAAATCGTATTTCTTAATATGATTTCAGTATTACAATTAAAAAAAAATGAAAGTCGTTCTTGAAAAAGTATATATTTTTTTTAATTAAAAGTTAAAACAAAAACCTGTAATTGGTATAATACTAAAGGAATAGATGGATCTTACACTTTGTTTGTATAATTCCAAGCATCCCATCCTACAGGTTCAACCACAGGAGCCAAGGCTGTTTTATGAAATATGACTCTCGAACACGATCGATAGGCTCTACCCAATAAGGAGTTCCCAACACCACTGCCAACCACAGAACCTCCTTCAAACACAAAACCACTTTGGTCACTCGTTGAAGCGCGTCCTTGTGCTGTTATGGAACCCAAGGCAGTGGCATTTAACACACAATCCTACGGTACTTGAGCGCTTAGTCAATGTATATGATGCAAAAATTTAAATCTCCTGATAATTGAAGAGTTTAGAAGTACCTGGTAAAAGGATTGCCCAGCGCCAAATATAAAGTCTACTGCACCTTCAAAGAGACAGTTTTGAAAGTAGTGACGACCTCTTTCATCCCAAACAGTATCTTGAAACCCAATGAAATTACAATTGTAAAAGGCACATTTATCTCCAGATATTCTTGCGGCCAATGATGGGTCCCTTATCCCAAAATGTCTCTCATTCCTATGCATGTTCAAGCGTTGTATGATACCGTATGAGTTCTGCAGAAGTTGTTTTTGTGCATGTTATGTTTTGAGAATAGAGTTAAAATACACTATTTCTCTTATTCTTTACGAAAAGCAATGACACACCAAAATCAATGGATAACATTTTTTGATTGAAGACGAGAGTGTACTCGAAAACATGGATACCTTAAAAGTGATTTCTGATGCAGCTAAGTTGTTTGCAAAAGCAGTGAATGTGGAACTGGTATTTGGTGCATTGTGGTCATTGTTTGTAATGGTGGTGACTTGTTTTCCTTGGCCTTGCAAAAAGATGCATGGCTTTTCAGTTGGAATTTGAACCTTCTCTCTACACACAACACAGTTAGATTCAATCAACTTATTTCAGAAAATGTAACCATGAAAAACAAAACAAACACAGTGAAAGTAATTGAAGTTGGTAAAATCCAATATCAAGAACTAACGTACTTGTATACGCCAGCATTTATCTGAATTTTCACCCACTGAGCATTGTTTGGTTTTATTGAATCAATGGCAGCTTGGATTGTTCTGAAATTTGCTTTGTTTGATTGATCAACAACAATGGTGCTTGAAATTTTGGAGCCACCACAATCCACTGCTCTACAAACCTCCAAGGAAGAAATGAAAAGCAGAGTAAAAGAAAGAATGATTTCTAGAGAAAGTAGTTCCATGATCAAAGATGATCAACTTGCACAATAAGAGAAGTCATAAATTAACATCAGTGTTCATTTTAAACATCCAAGAAATATCTCCTTTTTGATAATAACATAATAATAAATATAAAAATATAAATTTTTATTGTTATAAAACTAATAAAAAGACTTGTTGACAAGTTATTTGAATGATATATTTGAATTTTCAATGTAGGATTTCTCTCTATATAAATAAGATATAACAATTGGAATGGTTTCTATTTTTACAGTTTAATCATTTAATATATGATGAATTACATGTCTTTGTCATAACTTCAAAATAAATCCTTCCATTTTCGTTAAAAAAAAAGGAAAGAACCTCTCCCTTGCATTTATTTCGCGTTAGTTGACCATGATTTAAATAATTAATTTTATATTTATAAATAAAAAATTATGAAATGTTATGTGTAATTACTATAAGGTGTGTTAAGAAATTGTTATTTTTTTTAAAATGTAAAGTTTGACTAGTGTTCATTACGTGCAATTTTTTATTTTCTTTAATAGTACTACTAATCGAATTAATAAAATATTAATTATTTAAGATGACAAAAGAAGAAATAAATTTCTCATTTTATTTATTATATCAATTATTTATTTATTATATCAATTATTTGACTTATATTGTACAAATTTTATATTAAAATATTTCAAATTGTATGTGTTGCTTCAAATAAATAAATATTTAATATATATTAAACTAGTTTAATTAGTTTATTAGAAAAAATTTAATTTTATATTTTTTTCACAAAGATTAATAATTTATTTGGAATATTTATGTTTAATTTTTAAATAAATATTAATAGAGGATGTATTGAATATAATATTATAAAAGTTGTGTAATTATTTATCCAATCTATATTAAAAATAAAAATTGATATTTTATACATGATATAATTTTTGATAAATTCAATTCCAATTTAAAATTTCTCTGAGTGAAGTACTGATATATAAAATAAATAGAAAATCAACAAAATATAACAATATACACATAATATTTCACATTTTTTATTTATAAATGTAAATTAATTATTTAAATCATAGTCAATTAACTCTAAATAAATGCAAGGGAGAGTTTTTTTTCTTTCATAACTAAAATTGAAGGATTTAATTTGAAGTTATGACAAACACATCTAATTCATAATATATTAAATGATTAAACTGTTAAAATACAACAATTCCAATTGCTATAACATATTTAGATATATATATATATATATATATATATATATATATATATATTATATATATTATATAATTTTATAAGATCTTAAAGAATTTTACAAAATTTCAAAGAACATTCAATATTACAAAGATAATAGAACAATAATAAGATGGTTTTGTTATCTTCCGACACCCTCCATTGTCTGTTTGTCATAGAGTCAAAATAAACCTTTAAAAATTCATGTTTTAAAACATGAGTTACTCATATTTTATTTTATTTTTCTCTATTTTTTTATTTTTTAAATTAATCTTGACAGGTAAAAAGGCCAGTTATACATTAATTAACAAAAAAATATAATAAGAGTTAGTAAATTATATTAAATTAAATACAAAATAGGAAAAAATTGTCTGTATTAAAATAATATTTTTCAATAAATACTTGACATTTCGAAAATATACAAACAAAATAATAAAAATGTGTATTTGATTCTTTCTTATTTGAAATTTCCACTACCAAATGACAACACTTTAAACCAACTAGAAAATATAAAACTTTGAAAAAAAAAAAAGAAATCGAGAGAAAAAAAAATATGAACAAACTTATGAATGGAGATATACTAATATTTAAGCTTTTATTTTATATTAATATATTCGGTTTAATTATAAAATATATGCTTTTAAAAGGTTTTTATATCAGTTCATTTATAAAGGATTGATAAAATAAGCTTTTCAGTGTACAAACCCAATTAATTATCTACATACAGGATATGCATTATACTTATGATATGATTTGAATTATAGAATTGGTAGAATCACGAATGTATTATTTTAAGAGTACATAATTTTTAATATATAGAATTTAAAGTGTATAAATTTTTTAAATAAAATTTAAAAATAAATAAATCAAAATAAAATTCTTAAAAATATATTTAATATCTTATCATTTTTTATTTTAAGTCTTTTTATTATTAAAATATAATTAATCATTTTATATATTATGATAAAATAAAAATATAAAAATGTATACTTATTAATGATATATATATATATATATATATATATATATATATAATGATATGTTTAAAATAAAAATATATAAAATATAAATAATATATATATTTATTAATTTATTTTTTTAATATTAAAAACTAATTAAATATACACTTCCAAATACTAATAAACCCATTGAATAACAAACTTCCACTAAAAGAAATTATAAACATAAGAGTTAATTTGATCTTTAAGAAATGTATACAAATTTTAATTTAGTCTTAAAATTTAAATAAAATATTTCAAAATAAAATATATCTGTCAAAAAGTTATTTTTATTTTAAATAAGTCTCTTATATTATTATTAAAATATAATTTAAAGCACGTGTTTGAATAAAAAAATGAATGTAAGTTATTTTTAAAGATTATTATTTAATTATTAATATTTGAAAATAAAATAAAATAAGTATACATTTTAAAGGTAAAAAATATAAAAAACACATTCAACCATATCTTTAAAACAGGATGACCGAAAGACCAAATTTTTAATTTGAGTAATGAAAACAAAAATGAAAAAAGTTAATTATATGTATCATCGTTATAAGAGTTGATGGAGCAAAAACTAAGAACGCCACGTACTGCGTGCATAGTGCAGCTGTCAAAGGCCTAAGGTCACCATGTCAATTAGTTGGGCTTCATGTTTCACTTCTAGCTTTGTTGCTTTGCCTCTTCAAACATGGAGAGAATGCTTCCATCGCCACCCCACTCCAAACTCAAGGGTCTTCTTAATGTTTCCTCCAATGCAAGGGCTGGTGGGTCATACAAAGAACACTGTTCTCCGGGTGATGACTCCCACAGCTTCTATGATAAACTCGTTGAGTTGTTGGAATCTTCTGGACTCACTCTCATGTGAGTAACTTGCTGGTTATATAAAACCAAAACCATCACCTCACTCACTAACAACATTCTAACTAGTTCTTGTTTTTATTTATATCCTTAATGTGCTTCACATTTTCAGTTTATTTCTCTGCTGGGGTTGTGAAATTCTCAAATCATATTTCTTTTTAGCTGTTCTGTTTGGCTTCTCATAAGTTGAATTGCATGCAAAGAAAGTCCACTCTTTTTTTGTGTTGGTGCTTCCTGTTCGACCAGTTTGAACTCTGGACTTTTCATGATTATTCACATGAACGAAAATCACCACCTTATTAGTTTCAAAATATTATCTCCTTAGTCTCAATCAAGTTCTGAAGTTGTTAATTGTTTTCTGTCCTAATAGAGTAGTCGTTTCTCCTTTTTTTTTTTTTTTTCGTCTTGTTAGTTCAACATGAAATTGTTATGTTATTTAGGGGATGTGAAATATGAAAGGTAGGAATAATGCTCTAACCCAGTTCCACTTGGCAGTTTCAATGTCCGAGAATCATTGTTGGACTTGTACCTGTTTTACTTGGAGGTGACAAGAAGAGGAGGATATCACCAGGTATATAATGCATGCCCTGTGGGAGTGTGGTCCAAATTGACCTCAGAATAGTTTATGATGTCTCTAATTTAATATCATGGATTTTGTTTTAAATGTTTTCAGGTTGGTCGAGAAAGGAAATGGAGTGAAGTTGTCACGGCCCTGAAATTGGAAGGGAACAATGTGAAATTATGTGCTCAAGTTGAAAGGCTTTACTCACTTCTTATCTACCAGTTTGAGCAATTGTACTTCTACAGGCGTCCTACAAAGCAAGCTGGATCTGGCAGCAACACAAGTTAGCCCAAAATTATTATTTGTGTTCATTTAATAGATATAAATTCAGTCTAGCACTTCACACATAAGTTTGATTTATGGGGATGTTCTTGGCAGTTTTTACATACATTTACTTCTTGGACATTTACAACACAAGACATTTCAGCAACTTCTTTATTTGATGTTTTTGCTACACTTTGGTTTTTGGCTGAAAAGAGTTTAACTTAAGGTCCCTTTTTTCTCCCTTCCCACATCATCCTCTTTATAAAAAGGTCCACTTAGGAAGAAGCGGATTTCAACTGCTAGTTTACCTCATCAGCAGACCACAGAAATGTCCAAGAACTACTCCTGCCAAATGACAGGTTTGTTGCTTGGCTAAAAGCTTTTCAAGTCCCGAGACAAAATAAATCAGTTTTCTTCAGTAACGTCGCGGTCTATTGTGACTCTAGAGATTCTTATGCAATGCTTTGTGTCCCAACTTAGCAGGGGCTGGGTATGTACAACAGCCTGTGCTTTTACCAACACCTTCGAAAGAGAAAAAGACACCTTCGAAAGAAAAGAAGAAACGCCGAGGTGCCCCAGTGGGACAAAAGACTGCATATCAGATATTCCTCAAGCATGAATGTACTCGGTTGAAAACTTGTAATCAGGCCGTAGATGGCAAAATACTAAGCATGGCTATTAATTCATGGAGGACTATGTCTGAAATTGAGAAACAGGTATATAGAAGTTGGCATATAATATCTATTTTTGAAAAATACATCATTACTTTTTTTCTTATGCCCATATGCGGTTGCATGGAATTTGCCATCTCTGATAACTTTTCATGCAGCCATTTGTGGAGGAAAGCAAGAAGAAGAAAGAAGAAATTAAGGAAGCTATGGTTAGACGCAGTAAACAGCAGAGAACCCATGATACCAGGGAAGAGAAGTCGTCTAGTATGTGTGGTGATTACCCTGTAACTTCGCAACCTGAGGCAGATGACTCCCTTGTCAGCAAAGGAACTGTTGGGTTAGCTCTTAAAATGACTGAAAAAGTACCGAAGGATCCTTCATTTCTAATAGACTGGGATGGTTATTGTCCACTAGATTTCGCAACTAGGGAATCCGAGTAACTCCACTAGTCTAGTTGTAGGTGGGTTATTTTTGCTCTGAGGCCATGTCTATGCATTCAGCAGTTTTCTCTTTATAATGACCCGGTCCAAGCTACTATGTATTTATGTATGGTTTTGAAACAACTTGAACGGACCTGGAGTAGTTGAATCATAGCATCTTCTCTTGACACTAGAAAGTATGTAGATATATGTAGCAAAGGCTTGTATGGTAATGCAAACTTATGTTGGTGTAATTCCTGTTGCAGACTACCTTTTTGTTGACACATAGACAACTAATGGAACTCGTTTCAGGCCACTTCGGATTACATCTGGGGATATATCATTGTTCCATAATTAATGTTAAGGGCAGAAATTAGAGCAATGAAACTTGCAGAAAAATCTACACTTTAGGCATCTCCTTAAAAAGCAGATAATGCTAGGCAATGCAAACAGAACAAAAACTATTCTTCATGATTAAACTGAAGTTACCACAATTTATATAATCTCAATACCAGAACTGGTAATTTACCAAGCCAAATAAGATATATCTTGTTCAAAAATTTCGAAAACTGAGAACAATTGGTTTCAGAGTGAACTTTGTTTTCGTCTTCTATGCTGTTTGAGGGATAGTTTTCATTGATCTCATATGGAAGAGATTGTAGAAAAGATATCCCTACACCTGAATCAACTATCTCGGTATGTTTGAAGGTAATGTTGAGAAACTAGTGGAAGTGTAGAAATATTCACCCAAGAGAATTGTGCAGTAGAGTAATAAAAAAAAGTTTGTCATTTTCAGGAGTGTTTTTCCACGTAATTGTAAGTGTCCAACAAAAATTCTGATATAAGAATAAGAAAAATGATATTGATCCATCAAAGATATACAATTGTGATGAGAAGAAAAATGGTACTTTTTTTTTTTATATATTCTAATAGCAAGTCTGGTGTATGTACTATGTAGCATATACTTTCTTCGTATCTGTTTAAGTTATGAAATTGTCCTACAAAAATGTACTATTTATAGATGCCAAATTTATTTTAACAAAAAGATTCCACCCATATAATTGAATGTTTATTAATATTTACTATAACAATAATGCATATTATAATTAAATTCATTAATAAATATTATTTATTATTCAAAATAATGTTGATAGGAGGTTTATACTTTTTTTTTTTAAAATATATCATATATAGACTTAAGTATCAAAACGTCTTTGCAAGTGAATCTTCTCATTTTCTCTAATCACCAGAGTTCATATCACTAATTAGTTTATAATATTTGTACTATTTTTGTCATATTTTCTTTTGGTAATAACCATTGGAGTCCCACGACCATGAGCTCAGCGAAAAATAAATCAATCCACATATATTAATCATCTTAATTTGTTAAGATGAATACAGATGATATTCTCAATTCTTTGAAAGTCTACAGGGAGGAAGTACAGGAAAATGACAAAAAAAAATAATCTAATGGAATAGAGATATACTGAAGAAACGAAAGCTTTTAAAAAGCATAATGCTGAAGTGGAAAAGTAATTACGAGTTTTAGTCTGATCCCCTTCAAAGTATCCTCATTCATCGTACTATCAACTTCAATCATGGTACTAATTGCCTTCTTGTGAGGATGATGTTCAGACAGAGAAAAAATCTAATAGACATGAAGTGAGAAATAAAGCTAAACCAAAGTCAAGTACAAAGAAGCCAAAGACTCATTATGTTTCACGAGAATCTCAAATGAAAATAGGAAGTCCATTCATTCCAATAATTTTAGCAGAAGCCTTGTCCATTGTTTTGAAGGCACCCACAATGAAAAGGTTTGGTGATGGGTCAGATTTGGGCGAGCATATTTGGTCCTACTTGACTAAAATCATGGTATTTGAGGAGAACGATGTCCTTTATGCAGAACTTTTCCCATGACGCTTAGAGGTGTCACTCACAAATGGTTCTATGATAACTTGCTCACATTGCAAAGGGTAAGATTGGAAATTAAGAAAATTCGTGGAGAGGTTTAATGAAGTTAGCCTTAATTAGGGTAACCTTTCTTATGATCTAATTATTCATATCTGGCTTAGAACATGATCTACTCGGTTCATGCAATTAGGAAAAGGTATTGACATTAGAAAAAAGAAGAAGGGAGTTGCTAGAGAAGAAGGTCCATCTAATAGGTATGGCTTAGAAAAGAGATATAGGAGAGAAAACAAAAAAGAAGAAAGGAAATTCACTTCTCTTAATGCCAAAAATAGTTCTCCAAGAAGCCTATAATTTGAAGCTTATCAAGTTACTAGAACCCTTTATAACCCCTTTAGATGCGGATAGATCAAAACAATGTGCATGACATCAAAACTATGGACATACTATAGTAAATTGCAAGAGAGTAAAGGATGTTTTAGAAGATCTTATTCGAAAAGGGTGCTTTAGATCGATTCATTCAACATTACAAGCATGACCGAAGTTATAATTCAAGTCATTACAGAGGTTATCATGGTCGAGGACATAGAAGAGGACGTGATCAACTAAGAATGGAAAGACAATCAGCAAGTGATCGCCCCCAAAACATTACAAATGATTTTGTGCTACTTGTCATGAGGTTTCTTGTGATGAGGCTCCATCATCACTCTTTGTCATCAAGCAAATATTTGTTTCTTCTTCTTCATCACTGCTTTCGGAAGAACTCTCTTATGTTGTGGAAGAATCATTATAAACTTTGCATTTTTTCTTATAGATATTGTTCTTCTCTTTCACATATTTCTTCTCTTTCTTAAGTTCCGGACAATCTGGTTTGATATGACCAAGCTTTCCACATCCATAACACTCGTACCTATTGGTTTTCTCCTTTCTTTGTTGCCTCTTTTTCCTGTTCTTCATAAAACGAGAAAAATGTTTAGCTAAAAGAGATATATCAGAATCTAAAAACTTACCTTCATTTTCACTTTCATCCTGTAAAGTTTTTACTGCATTTAGAACTATCATCTTGGCTTGGTTATGTTCACCGTTCTTTAACCTTTGCAATTTCATCTCATGCTCTCGCAACTTTCCAAATAGAGTAGCAATATTCATTTTTGTGAGATCCTTTGATTCTGTAATAGTAGTAACCTTTGATTACCAATTCCTGTCTAAGGATTTCAAGATCTTTGTGTTCAACTCCTCATTGTCAAAATTCTTTTTTAATGCTTTCAAATGATTTATTAAATGTGTAAAGCGTGTTTGGAAATCCGTGGTACTTTCATTCTACTGCATTTGAAACAATTTATACTCCTGGATGAGTGTGTTTTTACGTACTCACTTTTCATTTGTTCTTTCATGTGTCACTTCAAGAGTGTCTCATATTTCTTTTGTCATCTTGCATTGTGAGACCCTGAAAAATTCATTACGAGTTAAGGCAGAAACAATAGCGTTTCGGGTTCTTACATCATATTAGGCACGCTTGTTTTCATCCGGCGTTCATTGGTCAAAAGTCTTTGGAACAGATGTGAACTTCGTTGTTCTCATTAGAATGTAGGGACCGTTTAGTACAACATCCCAAACACCGTAATCTAGTATTTGTAAAAATATTTTCATTATCGCCTTCCAAAATTGATAGTTTTCACCTTTAAACAGTGGTGATCTGTTTATTGAGGCTCCTTCCCTGTAAACCCGATTCTGTATAGACATCTTGATAGATCGTTTAGAAATAATTTATCTAACCAAGTTCTGATACCACTTGTTAGACAAATGACATCTAGAAGGGGGGGGTGAATATATGCACAAATTAAAATAGATGCCAAATTAAAATTTATTTTAAATGTCAAATAATTTGTTAATTCAATTTTAAAGTGGAAACGATAATATAATCAGGAAGATATAAGAGAAGTGATTAAGAAAAGAAAAGTGATAAAGAGAAGATAAGAACACACAATAATTTATATTGGTTCGGGTATAGTCAACCTTATATCCAGTTCTCAAACACCTCTAACACAAGAGTGACCCCAATTCACTATCTTTCAAATTCAGTTTACAAATTACAATCAACTCAGCAGAGGAACTAATAAAAAGTAAATTAATTAAAAAGACAATCACTTCCTTAGAAACTCACTAAGGATGAACATCTCCTCTGAACAAATCAAAGGATGAAAACACCTCCTTAGAATTCCACTAAGGATGAACACCTCCTTAGAATCCCATTAGGAATGAACACCTCCTCTAAATAAATCAAAGGATGAAAACACCTCATTAGAATCCCACTAAGGATGAACACCTCCCTGAACAAATCAAAGGGTTGAACAATTTCCACACAGGAAACCCAAAAAATTTAACAAAGGATGAAGGTAATAAAATAAGAATAGTCATATCTGGGTAAAGGAGACAACAAATTGTAAAAGCTTGTAGAATGATAACTCCAAGATCACAGTGTGATTGACAGTGAAAGCGTAGGTGACATTATGAAAAAGTTTTTTTAGAAAACCTAAAAGTGTTTTGTTGTCTTGCTCAAAATTCTTTTCTCAAAATTAGTTGAATGTAAATTGAATTTTCGAATTCTATAATTGTGTCTTTTGATCTTTCATCAAAACTCATTTAAATAGGAAAATAACATCAGAAAATAGTCGGTTGTCATTAATAATTTCATAGAGAAAAATCAAGATATATCCAAAAACATTTATTCTTCAAAAACGGATATATTTTTCAAATTTAAACTGCCATAATCGATTATGTTACCAGTATAATCGATTATGACAAAGAGAAAATCATTTTTCCATTTCTGATGCATCATAATTGATTATGACAGTGAAAAATGTCATCTTACAAAATTTTATCACACTTGTACTTTGTAAGTTTATGCATAATAGTACTTCATCAACTTGTACCTTCACATCTAGAATTCTAATACTCTATCTAATCTTCAAGAATCATCTTGGCTTGCTTGAATCTTAAATAGAATCTTTATCAAATCATATCTTGAGTCTGCTTGAGTCTTAAATGTTGTTGACTTGAATCATCATCAAAATCATCTCTTGAAAATGTATGGACATGTTTCACATTGCCAT